AGGAAAAATGCTATTAGAATATCTGAAAAACTGAATAATTATTATTTACTAAGAGTAATATTTTCTCAACGCCTTCTGTGATTTCTGCTTGATTTGGGCTTTTTTTCTTCGCTGAATTTAGTTTATCTTGCAAGTAAATAAGCCAGCTCAGAGACAGCCCCTGTTTGTCAGTTTCAAGAGGTCTAATTGGAACAAAATCTAATTTCTTTTCTTTTTAAAACCTTTCATTCATATTTCAGGGTGATTTTAATTTATAATATCAAGTTATTCAAAGCCCAAGGCCTAAGATGCCAGAGGGTAGACCGTTCTCAAGCACAGCCGGCTGAATCCGAGGAAAAGCCTGAAAATCTCCAGGCGAGTCTAGCCTCCCAGGATTGTCAGCCTGATTCTAGATCAAAGGGGCTCAAATAAATGCATTACCTTTAGACTACTTCTCTCCAAGCCTCAGATCCACTGGACGCTTGCCCATCTGGGCTGAGACCTATAGGCAGCTGTTTTTGGAGCAAGGGTGTCTTGAGGTCACAGCTAAAGCACAGATTTCCATGTCTGGTAAAACAATCAGCATGTGTTTACCAACACGAATGATATTTTCAAGGTCAATGCTGGGTTTCTAGCAAAAGAAAAAAAATAATTGGTATTCAGGGTAAAAAAAAGCAAATACAGTTGCAGGCCTATTGTAAAAGCCTCTCTTCAGCACGCGATTTTAGGGACGACTGTCATGGGCCACTCCGCAAGGCCCACCCACAAACTGGATCTCACCCTGGGCATAGGTGGATGCATTTGGGACCAGAGTACATTTTTTCCCCCATCTTTTTTCCTCTGCTTAAAGGGTAAAAGTTATTTTTATATTGCAACACAACTCTTATTGACAAATATGAACAATGCTGACATGTGCTTAGGGTAAATACCGTCCCAGATAAGGAAATGAAAAACGAAAAAACTTGCAACGTGTTTCCTTCAATGTGGCACCACACGCAACTCGGTGGCTCAGGCCAGAGATCTGGAAGTCCTCCTTGACTTCTGTGCCTGCCTCACCCCACCTCCACTTCCAAACTCTCACCGTGGGTTTCTCTCCACCATCTCTGCTCCTGGCCACTGCCCCTCCCCCCCAACCGTGTCCATGTGCAGACCCACCTCACCCAGCTTCCAGAGTGTCCTTGTGGAATGCAAACCTAACCACCATTCCCTCTTAAAACCCGCTCCTCTCTGGGACAAAGCCTGAGCTCCTCAATGTGGCCTTTGGGCATTAACTACTGCTTATTTCTTTAGCCACCTCTACTACTCCCGCTTCAAACTCAAACTTTCTGTCTTGCCCTAGACCCCAGCAGGGCTGGGCCCATGAATAGCAGGACCCAGAGTGCAGTGAAATATCAGGCCCCTCGTTCAAAACAAAAATTCAAGGATAAAATGAAGAATTTCAATATGGCGACCACAGCGCATGAAGCTCCAAGCCTGGGGCCTGTGTGATAGTTTGGGTCACATGCCCATAGGAAGCTACCCTGACCTGCAACATGTTTTCACCTCAATTTCCTTGCTCCGATGGTACTTGGTCTGGAATGTCCTATTTTCTGCTTCTATCATTCTCTCTCTTCCTTGTTCTTTAAGATTCACTTAGCTTGGGTGTCTTTGCCAAGAAGTCTCCCCAAACATCCCTCCTACAACCCCGTTACCAACTGGGGTGGGTATTCCTCCTCTGAGTGCCTTTTAGACCAGTGAGTCCCAAAGGCTGAGCCGCCAACTCCCTACTGTATAAACACCTGGAGTGGTTTGTGAAAATGAATCTGAGTCTCAGGGCATGGAGCCTAGGCCTCTGCCCTTTGAAAGCTCCAGAACAGACGTGCTCGCACACTGAAGTTTGAGAACTAATGCCCCCTGCCTAGTGTCCTTGTCAATCAAGCCTGTGTTCAGCTCCTCTGTTTCCTTAACACCTAGCACCGCGCCTGGCACTCCATACATGTTGATGCTCATTTGCTGGATTGAGCTAATTCTCCCAACTTTAGCTCTGCCTTCTTGCCACTTGTGCTTCTCGCCGACTCCTGGGTCCTTGCGGCCTCCTCCCTATTTCTTTCAGAGTGAAAGCATCTCCACATGGCCTCTTTGGCTGGCCCTGGGCCTAGGAGTGACCCGTGGGGTTGGCCCTTTCCCCATGGAGCTGCCAGCTGGTGTGTTATGGTCAATCCTTGGCTTCCATTATTCTGAACCCCACAGGGATACCCCAAGCATGTGCCATCCCTTCCTGAGGAGCTCCAGAAGGAGACAGAGAGATGATGCTCTCTCCGCAGATGTGCACGTGAGAGAGAATCTCATTTTCTCTGTGGTTGAGAGCCCTCATGTGAGACCCCCAGGCAGGCTGCAGGCCAAGGAGATTGCAAATGGCACCACAAGGCCCCACACCGCTAACATTACACGAGGCAGCAGTGAGCTTGGCTGTGAATGTGTTTGCCCCAGTCCCGGCCCAGGTGTGGAGAGGTTGATTCCAGAAGTCCAGGGAGCTGTGCCCAAGGCCTGAGAGAGCTCCCATCCCTGTCCCTCAAGCCTGAGCTTGCAGAGCAGCACCCAGATACTGGAAAGATGTGGATGACAGACCACTCCAGCCCTGAGGCAAGATACTGGGTGTTTTCTTGAAGGGAGTGGAAGAGGTGCCTGGTTGGGGGGGGTGGGGACGGTGTACAAAGAAACAACAACAGCCTGAAATTTCCCGCTGTCATTCACTCCCAGCTTCTCTGGTGGACATAGGGAGTGGTGGGTGCAGCTCAGGAGCTGCCTGCCTGTCTCCCATGCTGGGCTCACCTCAGCTCGGCCCAGAGGTCTCAGCCGGCTATACTCTCAAGACCGCCTCAGGGCTTCCTAGATCCATGAGCCCTGCAACAAGCAGGCCACCTCCAGCCCTTGGGTCTCCCCATCGCCCTCCCTCAAGGCATCTGGGGCACCCTGACACCAGCTTCTCCTGGGCCTATTTTGAGGCCTATCTACCAGAAGCTGGAAGACTGCCTCACAAAAACTTGGCCCTCTCCCTCCTGTTTTGATTCGTGCATTTGCTTTGTTTAACAAATATTTTATGGCTGTTGTTTCAAAAATTAGTTCTTTCTAATTAGGGGCATCATCACATTTGGATCCCGTGCCAGCCAAACTAGGCAAAAATTTCTAAGCCTTGAGGAAGCTGTTACAGGGAGGGGAGCCCTGTGGCTTCTGCAGCGTGAAGGAGGACAGGTCACCCCACGGACCATTAAGCAATTGTCTGGGAGCCAGTCGTCTGGTGGTCTAGGAATGGTTGCCCGAGTAAGCAGATGTCTCAAGGATCACAAGGTGATCGGGGCCACTAGTGAATCTAGTGCTTCAGCCACACACAATTTCTCACTCTCTCCATGAAATTTTCCTTCATCATCATCATCACTGACTGTGAATAGCTTCAATGTATTGAGTGCTTAATATGTGCAGGGCATGGTCTTAAGTGTTCTCCTTAAAGAGTCTCATTATATCCCATAATAACCCTGAAGTGTTGCAGTGATCAACCCCTTTTATGGATGGGGTGTTGAGCCTTAGAGGTGCAAGTCACCTGTCCCAGGTCAGACAGATGTTAGGATTCAAAGCACACACCATGCTGTCACCGTGGTGAACGTCTGCATATAGGATTCCCTCCAGGTGCAACCTGGTTCATGGACCACTTCCGCTTCCCAGCCTCCCATCAGCAGACGGGGGCTCGCAGTTAGCTCTCTGCAGCACCCCCACGTGCATTTATATTTCTGTCTACCTGTGGTAGAGTAAAAAACATGTATCTTTGGTCTTTGTCCCTGGTTCCTGGCACAGAGGTCTTAAAACCCTTAGCATTTCCTGAGTGATGGGAATGTTATTTATACGGGACCTTTGATTGGGACGCTTGGGTGGCTCAGTCGGTTAAGCATCTGCCTTTGGCCCAGGTCATGATCCTGGGGCCCTGGGATCGAGCCCCGTGTCAGGCTCCCTGCTCAGCGGGGAGTTTATATGCTGATGTTTAGCTGAGTTTTTATGCTGATGAGGCGACTCATGAGGACTCCCAGAGGAACCAGACACATGATTAGAGGGGGACCTTTCAGCCCCACCCCGCCTCATCCTTAACCTCCAGAAGGGGAGGAGGGACTAGGGATTGAGTTCAATCACCAATGGCCAAGGATTTAATCAGTCATGCCTACTTAATGAAACCTCCATTAAAAACCCTAAAGGAGGGGGGTTGAGGAGTGTCTGAGTTGGTGAACACATTCATGTGCAGGGAGGGTGGTGCACCCCTAGTTCCATGGAGAAAGAGGCTCCTGTGTGGGGGACCTTTCCAGACCTCACCCTACCTCTGCATCTGGCTATTCATTTCTATACTCTGTAATAAAGTGTAATCTAAGTAAAGGGCTTCTCGGTTACTGTGAGTCCTTCCAATGGATTATTGAGCCTGAGGGCAGGAGATGGGAAGCCCTGAACTTATAGTCAGGTGGGTGGAAGGACTGGGGATACAGTTTATAGCTGGTGTCCCATGCGGGGGCAGCCCCATGGGGTCTATGCTAACTCTGGGCAGTTGGTGTCAGAATTGGTTTGAATTGTAGGTCACCACCCAGCTAGTGTCAGCTGGTTGTGGTTGGAAAAACCACCACCCCACCCCACCAACCAGCTAGCTTTGCAGGTCTGGGGAGGGACTGGAGTTGCTGGTTAAAGGACGTTGGAGTGGGGGGCACAGTCTGTGGAGCGCCACACGGGCTCAGCATTGTTCACCCTCCAATCTGCAAACTGCAGACTCTTAACCTTGAGGTGTGCCATCTGGAACCTCTCTTCACCTTTGGCTGATGGGACAGATACTCACTGGGTTGGTTACAGTGAGTGACGAGTGGTGGTAAGTTTTAGTACACGACGCCTAGGGTCACACTGGTCCTTAGTAGCAGAGCAAGGACTGGGTGTCCCAGTCTTGTGACCAGGACTCCGTCCCTCTACCTCACCATCTTTTATCTTTCCAAAGTACCCTTCCTTATTTGTTGCCACAGTTCTGATGGGACCAATGCAGAATGGAGTCACCATGAAGCTGTCGTGACTCACTGCGGGACACAACATGACCGTGGTTTCCAGCTCTCTCACCTCCACTCCGCACTCCAAATTGGACAATTTTCCATCAGGTGGTGACTGGCCCTTGAGTGTCCGCTTTCCCCACCCGCCAGATGTTGTGAATCATAAACCCATCAGCCTCAAGGCCTCTGTCCTCTGAAGATGCAGGCTCTGAGGGCAGGTGGGGAGAGGGGAGATTCCAGCAAGGCCCCACGACCGTCAGCAGCTTCCATGGCAGAGAGGATTCACCGGGCCAGCTGGGTCCTGGGCTTGGAGGCCGACTGGGTGTCTGTCATCAGCTCCCTCCTGTCCCGGAAACAGCTTCTTCAAAAGGGTCTGCAGCAGCGGCTGCAGTGGGGAGGCCGGTTCAGAGCCTCTGGGGCTGTTGGAAGGTGGGAGGAGGAGGAGGGGAGGGGAGGGGTGAGGAGGAGGCCCGGAGCCCTGCCGCCTGAGTGAGGCTGGTGACACGAAGAATCTATCAGTCTTGTGTGCAGAGCCAAATATGGTGCTGGGGCTCAATAAGTAATAAACAATGGTCACGTTGCCGGCTTGACAAGGAGAGGCATTACAGATGAGAGCCAGGGCCAGCCTGACGTCACCGCATGTGGCCGCTCCCCACCATGGGCAGGAATTCCTTATTTGTCCTTGTTGAGCCCACACGTGCTTTCTTCTTGATGCGCTCAAAGCAGGAAGGGGAAACTGAGGCCCACGCGTCACTTCGGAGACGGGTCCCCCGGGGTGTGGTATGAGCTGAGCCCGGGTCATGTCTTGACTTGCTTTTGGCAGCATTGACCACACACAGCTGGGCTCTTAGGGGCAACAGCAGTAGATGTCATGGCTGGAAAGAGCCAGAACTGGGACATTTTCTAGTAGAAGTGGTTGAAGCACATTATTAAAATGTGAGTTTTCGACACCCCAGGACAGCTGTTTGTAGGGGACTGGGGAACGCACAGAGCCCGAAGGCTGGCCTCTCCTTACAGCGCTGGGTGACAGGCTGGCTGGAGACAGGCCCTCACACATTCAGATCTGAGAGCAGAGCCGAACTGGTGGCGTGCGGGAGGGCTGGCGGGGCCAGGATGCCTCCTGCATCTTCCTCCTGCGCATCAGGTTCAGGCACTGGCCTCTGAATGAGGTGGGACCTGTCCCTTTCCCCGTGCCTGTCTGCATTTGGGCCTTCTTAACAATGAGATTTCTCTGCAGCGCGTGTCCTATATATGCAACTACAGAGAAGAGCTGACAAGGGAGGTAGCGTCACGTCGTGGTGAAAAGAGCACAGGATTTTGAGCCAGAAAGACCTGGCTTTGTGTCTTAGAATCCCAGCTGTGCCCATCACCCGCTGTGAGACCTTAGGGTGTTCAACTCGCTCCCCACAAAATGGGGCAATCTCTCCCTCTCTGCGGGGTTTTCGGGAGAGTCAGAAATAGCCCTCCGAAAGGGCCCAGCGTGGTAGGCTCCCAGGAAATAGAGCGGATATGGTTCTCCTAAACTGAAACGATGAACCACCTGTAGGCTGATATTGGCTAGAGCCCCTCCTCCCTCCTGCCGGCAGCTTTGCGGTTCCGAGCTCTCGAGAACGGGTTGTGGCTTTGGAAACGCAGATGCCTTGGGCAGAAGAGAGAGAAGACTTCTCGAGGAAAGCCAAAGGGCACCGCGTTCGACTGGCACGACTCTGTCTGCACTCTGATGGCTGTGCTGCTGGGCCCAGAATGCTGAGCAGGGAGCCGGAGCGGGGCTGCTCTGCGGGGCAGGGGCAGGCCCAGCCGTGAGGCCGGGCTCCATCACCGTCCTTTCCCGGCCCGTCATCATCCGGGATGTGGGAGCCCCAGGTGGGGGGGGCGGTGGAGAAGCATGCGGTTCCTGGGCTGCCCAGAAACTGCTCGCGCCACATAGCCACCATGCTTGTTGCAGGGAGGGATGGTCACCATATGCCTTTTGCGCCGGCACGTTGATTAGACCCGCTCCCGTTTGCTCTCCGCAATCACCCCCTGAATGGAAAATTAGGAGAGCCATATGCATTTGCTTCCTATCATCCAGGGTGGAAAACCCTGATCCTTTGTGCCAGAAGGAAAGTGTCTAGGAGGCCATCGGTCTACACCTTAAATGTCATGGAGAGAGTGTGCCAGAGCGGTGTCCACACTGATGGACCCAAACAGTGAGGAAAATGGGGTAAAAATCAGAAAGGAATAGGCACGCCATCATTCACACAAGAGTAGGATTAAACCTAAAACATGACTTATTAGTTTTATTTGTAAGTTTGCAAGTCATATTTCTCCCACAGCAATGCTACATTAAGAATAGTAGATTAGGGTGCCTGGGTGGCTCAGTTGGTTAAGCGACTGCCTTCGGCTCAGGTCATGATCCTGGAGTCCCCGGATCGAGTCCCGCATTGGGCTCCCTGCTCGGCGGGGAGCCTGCTTCTCCCTCTGACCCTCCCCCCTCTCATGCTCTCTCTATCTCATTCTCTCTCTCAAATAAATAAATAAAATCTTAAAAAAAAAAAAAAGAATAGTAGATTAAATAAATAAAGAGTAATGGCAGACTGTGACTATTGTCATTTGTCACCCCCCAGAGCTCCATGTTTCTACATGGTGGCAACAAAACCAGTGATCTAAATATTAACAAGTGGAACGCATTATAAACACTTAGTTATATATTATGATCCCTGTAAAGTCATTACAACAGAAATAAAAACTGTTTTTTATCTTAACTATTAATATTCATCAAATGTTAATGAAAATACCTAACAAATAATTATGAAAAACACATTGCTTAAGTAATAAAGATGAAAGAGATGATAATCGTTGTGAATATTTAATCTGCAAAATAAAGAACATACCATTAATAAGACTTAATTATGTCATTAAATATTTAATTTTACTTTTACTCCTAAATTTTGTTTGCATTTTGCATATTTTAAATGTAAAAAGCTTTTTAATAAGATTTGTGGTTTCAGCGACATCAAATGCCAGAGCATTTAAGTTTGACTTACTGTCTTCATCAAATTGGTCAAACATCATTTTATTTATCATTAAGTGAAATGAACAATACTCCTTGCAGTTTACTGCAAGTTATGCTTTATACAAAAGGGGGGACTTTAATAATTGATTCTAGGTTATACCCACAAAAACAATGTTTTCTAGTGAGGAAGAAAAATAATTGCTTTCCTTTCCTTTTCCTTTTTTTTTTTTTGAGTATCACACAACCTCCCACATTTCCTACTGTTTGCAGAGGAGAACACAGATCTGCTTCTGCCTTAGCTTGCTATAGAATAGGTCCTCCCCCAGCCACGATTAGATCCACTCATTGCCTCAGAATCGGTCCCATCAGATAACGCCTGTTCCTGGGTGCATGCTTACAATTACAGGGAGTAAGATAGGTCTCTGGGGCTGCTGGGTGGCACTCCCAAGCTCCCCTTAGCATGCGGTGGCCACCTCCTCTCAGGTTTCCGGCGCAGGGGCTTGGCTGTGTGGCTCAGTGGGCACAGCCAGACGTACGCATAGCACAAGGATGCAGCTTGCACTGCTCGTGAGAGCCAAAGGTGTGCATCTCTTCCCGTCCTGTGTTCTGTGGGATCACATTAGCAGCTGGGAATCAGCCGTGGAACATTTACACCAAAGAAAAGGGCAAATGTTACAAGTCAGGGCTCCACCTGGCCCCCACCCCAGTTGGTAAACATTCAGTGGCACATCACTGAGCTCACGAGGAGGGATCAGGACAGAACGCTCAGCCATCTCCTCCTATGCCCCTGCGCTACTGGGGCCACTGACCACCCAAAGCTCCGTGGGAGGGACACAAACGCCCTGCAGTCACCAGTAGGCCAGGGCGCTGAGGGCTCACCTTGGCCTCAGGCAGCTCTGTGCAGTGTGGCAGGTGAAGCTTACTCCCATCGCGTCTGTGTCTCCTGACCACCTTCTATTCCCGGTCAGGCAGCTGAGGCCTGGGGTAAATGGCCATGGCAGGCTTTTCCTTTGCTGACTAGAACATAAAGAGCTCTTTGTTGGGAGATAAGAGTTGCTGCTCAGGCAGCATCTCCACCTGGGCTCTGAGGGCCAAGCAGGAAGCTGGACAGGAGGCAAGGCACCAGCTGTCCCAGTTGGCCCAGGACTGAGGGCCTCCGCTACTAAAACCCAAGGGTGGTCCCTGACAACCCTAGATCCCCTAGGTCCCCTCAGGGCGTCTCCAATCATTTCTCTCTGGGAGGCTGGACACTGGATGAGATCGGGAGGGGCAGATCTTTGGAAAGGCCTCTTTGTCTTCTGGAAACAGCTAGAAAGAACAGAACAAAGCAGGAAAAAACCAGAAGTCCCAAGGAGAAATGCAGTGTTTCCATCCTTGCACATAAATGAGAGGTCTGGAGCTCAGTCTGTCACCCATTGAGGACCCCAATGGCCTAATCTCCAGGGCTTTAGGAAGGCGTGAGCCCCAGGCACGGGTAGAGGCCTGTAGGGAGGCTGGTGTGGCCTCCTGCCTCCTGGCTGTTAGACCTGCGCAGGCTCATCGATATTCTGGGGCTGTCAGTCCTCTCAAAGTTCCACTGTCCCCACAAACATGCTCTTCGGGTGTTCCTTTCCAACGTGGCTCTCAGTGCCTGACTGGCATACCGATCGGGCCCTTAGGGGCAGCAAGCTGGCACATCACTGTCACTCCTAGACAAACAGGCCCGTCCTCACCCCCCGAGGAAGCCTTCATAAGGACATGCTGGCCCTTTTTAGAGGAGACATTGGGGTAGATGCTAAACTTCCAGCTTTGAAAGAATGAACAGTGACCACAATAATAATGGGGCGAGTCTCCCACTCGTCCTGCTCAAACTTGTCTTTAGAATCGAGCCATGTTTGATGATCTCCCCGTTTTCCCACCTCTGCGGCAGGCTGGAGAGTCAGGTGGGCCCCAGGGCTGCTGGTCTGGTGGTAGGTGCTGGGTGGTGCTCCTCCCTCCTGGGGGGCTCTGCCTTCATAGGAGGGGTGCTCATGCACAGGCTGGAGCCTGAATTGTCAACCGGCAAGAGGCTGATTCACTGTCCCTGGAGATTCAGAGGTCTGACTGCTCATCTGCTTTGTCTTCCTCCCCATCTGCCTGCCAGTTCCCATCATTCTGAGGGTGCTCAGGGACCATCCTTCTGCCGTGTCCTCCTTAGACTCCACACCTGAGTCAGGGGCTCCTTCTCCAGGCTCACCTAGCACTCCATGCATCAATCTTTCATGGCCCCTACTCATATCAGCACAGTCTATTTTTCTCTTCCTCTAGGACTTCTGGATGGAAGGGACCTGTCTTATCATCTTTGTATCGAAAGTAGTGCCTGGTACACAGTAAGCACTCAATAAACACCTACTGAGTGCTTTGAATGCTTGGAGGACTCCCAATTGTCCTCTGAATCACAGCTCAAGGGATTACCTCTCCCACGAGGTTTTTTTGGGTTAACCAAGGGCACCTCTACCTTTCAGTAAGATCCCAACCCTCTCTTATTTTTGGAAATAGTGACTATGGCATCATTAATCCGGTATCGAATATCGATTAAGCACTTACAACATGCCTGGCTCTGTGGTAAGCACTTCACATGCATTCCCTTCCTTTGATTCTCACAGAACCCACTGAATTAAATTCTGTTGACATCATCCCCACTTTCCAGATAATAAAACTGAGGCGTCGAGAGATTAAGAACCTTACTTAGGTTGACTTTTCTCGAAAGTGGTGAAGTCAGGATCAAACCCATCCAGCGTGACTTTAGACTGGCTTACTCATCATGCCCTGCTCTCTCTCTTTTATATTGGTTACATACAGAATGAATGGCTAAACGCTCCAGAGGGGCACTGCTGTGATGATGGAATGTTCTGTGGCCACACTGTCCAATCGGCAGCCGCTCTCCTCGGCTGGCTCCCGAGCTCCTGAAATGTGGCTAGGGTGCCTGAGAAAATAAATTTTTAAATTTTAACTAATGTAAATGTAAATAGCCACATGTGGCTAATAGCTACTGTATTGGAAAGCAGGGCTCCAGAAGGTAAAGGACATGTTTTAATGATCTTTCCTGGGGCGCCTGGGTGGCTCAGTCGGTTAAGCGTCTGCCTTCGGGTCAGGTCATGATCCCAGGGTCCTGGGATCGAGCCCCATATCGGGCTTCGTGCTCAGTGGGGAGTCTGCTTCTCCCTCTCCCTCTGTTGCTCACCCTGCTTATGTGCTCGCTCTCTCTATCAAATAAATAAAATCTTTTTAAAAAATGATCTTTGGGCGCCTGGGTGGCTCAGTTGGTTAAGCGACTGCCTTCGGCTCAGGTCATGGTCCTGGAGTCCCTGGATCGAGTCCCGCATTGGGCTCCCTGATGGCGAGGAGCCTGCTTCTCCCTCTAACCCTCCCCCCTCTCATGTACTCTCTCTCTCTCATTCTCGCTCTCTCAAATAAATAAATAAATCTTTAAAAAAAAATGATCTTTTCTAAGTGTCTCACCACATAGTTCACGGCCATCAAAGGAAGGACTCAGGATGGCTAGTCTTAGTATCTTTCTCTGCTGCAAAATCACCCAGCTCCTCCTTGCACTGAATGAGTGAAATAAGCCAATCCTAGCCCTTAAAGTGTTTTTTCTGCTCTAGTGGTTTCCTACACGTGAGGACATGTACAATCCTACTTTCTTCATTCACAGAAGCCTGGAGAGATTAGCCAATCCAGGGCAGACTGGTCAACCAGAGCTGAAGCAAGGGTTAGGAAGGGAGCTACCCTAACAATACCTATTACTAGGCCTAGTGTGGGGCATTATCTTATATGCTCCTAAAAGCAATTGTGTGGCCTAATTCCCATTTTACAACTGAGGAAAATTCTGAAAGTAACACTCAGGAAGTGACAGAGACATGACTCGAACTGAGTTTGTGTGATTTCACAGACCCATGAACTGAGGGTGTAAAATGGAAATTTATCTTAATCACGGGATGGTCACTGTTCAAGGGCAAAAGAAGTATTGAGAGATTGACCACCTGCTCAAAGTGTGTATGTGTGTGTGTGTGTAATTATTGCTCCAATATGGTACAAGGCAAGTGGTTAGAATTAGTGCCTGAGCAAAATAGGCCTATTTTGTATTCCTCATAGCTAGAATAGAAAATTCCAGAGTGGCAGTATCCAGTACAATAACCATTAGCCACGTGGGCTATTGAGCCCTTGAAACGTGGCTCATTGAGATGTATTGCAAGTGTAAAACACACCAGATTTCAAAGATTTAGTATGAAAAAAAGAATATAAAATACCTCATTGATCATTTCTGTATTGATTATATTGAAGTGATTGTATTTTAGATACATTGGAGTTGTATTAGAACTTAGGTTATTTGTTTCTTTTTGCCTTTTTTAATATGGCTACTAGGAAGATTTAAGGAAGCGAAGTTGGTTAACCATAAATGGGGTTTGAGCCTGTGCATCTGTCCCGGCCCCTCGAGGCCGCGCTCGGGGCTCTGGCTGCGGGAGCTCACTCTTCCCCCAGCGCACCCAGAGCTCCTGACACGGTGTGATGCTTCTGCCTTAAAGTGCACTATCACTTCTTTCTTGAACAAGGAGCTTCGTCATTCCTCTCTGGGAGGCAGCGAGGTGATGAGACCATGACACAGGAAAATGACCTGATCTCCCCAAGGTCGTTCTGGAAGGTCATGGCCAAACCCAGCGGAGTGCGCAGTCTACCGCAGAGTTGACCGCCCCGAACAGCCTGGAAATGCTTTTCCAGTGGATGATCTTAACTGCAGGAAAGCAGGTTCAATGCCTGGCTTGCAGGGGGTGGGGGTGGGGGGGTGGGAAGGGATTATAGTGTCTGAGAGTCCCTGACCCCACCCATGATCATAGTATTCACCGCTTTCTGGGCTCAATCACTTCCATTCTCCTCACGGAGATGGAAAGGGCCGTAGTATTCCTCTTTGATGATTTAAAAGTGTTATGTGCCTTTTCCTCTTTCCTCTTTATATCCAGCGCTCTCCCTTCCCGTGCTGCTTTTCACGTTTCCATAGTAACCACCTCTATTGTATCCCTGACTGTGAAGAGAAATCTTGCAGATGTTAGTAGGGATCCAACACCTTCCAGTAGCTATTTTGATTCAGTCTCCTTATCTCCCTGCGCTAATTTTCTTGTCCTTTCTTCTCCCTACCGCTGTCCCCTTTCTCCCCTCTTCCCCCCAAGTGCCCATGAGCCCTTCAGCATTGCTGCCTCTGTCCCCGGGCCTGTGCCCAGGTGAGCTGGGAGAAGGCCAACATCCCTAGGTCTCATTCTAAACCTGAATTCTTCAGGTGGCTCCGACACACGGAAGCTCAAGGGGGTAGAATCAAAGGCCCAAGGCCCGAGAGCAGCGGGGTAGGATCTTTAGTCGCCATTAGAGGTGGGCCCGTCCTGAAGGCCTGAGGAGCGCATGGAGGGCCTGCCTTGGCCCTCTTGACCACTGACCGCACCCTGTCCTTTCTCCCGAGTGTGTACTCTCCTCCGCCCCAGCCTCACGGAAGGCTCATGACCATATCATTCTGTGCATTTCCCTCAGAGAGGTCAGTCAGCTTTCCTTACTGGTGTGGAGGGCAGGGCAGACGTAGAAACATGCATGCACGCTCACACACACAAACACACACGCGTGCACGTGCACACACACACACACACACTTATCAGGGCTTGGAAGACCCGCAACACCTGAATCACCCACCACCCCTCTCAGGGCCAGGCTCAGCCGGCCCCCTGGAAAGGCAATCAGAACAGGGCTTTATCGGTCACCTCCTGAAATTGTTTGAGTAGTCCTTTGCCTGCAATGCCTCCTTGGAACTGGGCATTATTCTTTTGATTACACAAGCCTGACAGTCTGATCATAATAAACATGTAACTGAAGAGAACCTATTCCTTTCCAGCAGCATTATTTATTCACCTACAGCAAAGGCTGAGCTATATTTAGCATATGATGTCAGTGGGTTGTTTGGATTCTTGGAAATTGGCAGGAAGCCACCTCTCACATGATATATGAAATCACTGATAAATGCTTCTTTTCACCAAAAGAAAAACAGCTTAATAAATGCGGTCCTTTTCTGCTTTCATCTTCTCTCCCCTCCCTCCCTCCCTCTCCTCCACCATCCTTCCTCCCAGCCGGTCCCTCCCCCCCCTCCTCCTCCCGCCCCTTCCACGTCTGGGATTTGTCTTTCTGTGGCACAGCTCAGCAGAGCCTGTGAAGTGGAAATGAGTTGCTCAATATCACAGATCAAAATGAGGCTGTTGGGATGCTCAGGATGGTTTTTTCCTCTCCTAGAGCCTGGAAGGCTGCCAAGGCGCTAGCGAATCAGACACACACGCACAAAAAGGCAAATCTATACAGCAGTGGCTTTATGGGGCCCAGTATTTATGGCACACACAGCACTAGCTCCGGGTTGCTGTTTTGCAGGCGGAGATGGGAAATAGATAGTGATTCAGGATTGCCATTAAGTGTGAAAACAGGCCCCGTACAGATTGGGTGTAATAAACCAAGTACAGAGAGAAGCTGTAAGAAGCCCCGGATTTGCCACACTGGATCAGCCTTGAGGCCCATCAAGTTCAAGCTCCTGATTTTGTGCTGGTTAATACCTGATGCTTGGAGCAAATCTTGCTGCTTTCCCTCTGTCTTCCCCGTCCTGTGCTGGGTCCATTACAAAAGACTGCTGGAGGGCTTGGGCGGGGTCCTGTGTTGGGAATGACATTAATTCTTCCCTCCTGTGGAGATCAGTTTATATGGCCCGAAGCACAAGATTTAATTGCCCTTCTCTTAGCTCTGGCAAAGAGCAGCGTCATTACTGATCTCGTGCATTCGCTTGGCCCCTTTCAGAATCAGCTGTAGCATTTAACTCAGTGACCCCCCTGGGCAGGAGCCTGGTGGCAGTCTTCCTGGCCGCAGGGGACAGGGAAGCAGTGGCACCCAAGGTGGTTCATTCATGTTTTTTTGTCCTCAGTGCCATCCACTGGCCCCCTGTCCTGGCATCGTAAGATATGGTGAAGACAAGTGATGCGTTTGTTTTCAGCCCCTTATTATTTGGGGTATGTTCATTAAGTTCCCTTCTAAGTCTGCCAAGCAGTCCTGCCCGAGTGATACCAATCACAGGAGGATGAGGGACTTGGAGAGGTTCAAACCTGCCACAGTGACACGGGCTGGGGCTGGCCTTTCCCCCACGGCCACCCCGGTGCTGAGCCCCCTGTAGCACCCATCTTCACCCTGGGCAGGACAGGAGAACAAACGGGGAAGAGGAGCGCGTGAGAGCAACCATCTTCAGATTAGCATTCATTTGGGGCTCTGTGACCAGGACTGCTGGTGAGTGCACGTCTTTGTTTCGGTTGGAGTTCTTTCTTCCTTCTCCAAATGAGGGGTGTTGGACCCAGCTGACCTGGTAGCTCCCTCCCAGGCTCTGGAATTCTCAGGTTCTATAACTGTATGGGTCTGTGATTTTATGAGTCACCCAGGGTGATTGAACTCTTTCCTGGGAGGTCATGGCCCTCCTCACCCCCTCCCCCCGGGTGAAGTGGATAAACTCTCAAACACAGATGATTCAGGAACGCTCCCCACCTGGGCACTGGGCATGCCATGGGGCCTGAAAGGGCCCAGAAAGAGTCTCTGGATGCACATTTGCTCTCGCTGAGACCACGGCTCACGTGGGCTCTCTGTAGGGCCACATCTCGTTGATAACAATGATGATTTCTGTTTTAGGCAAGGAATGATTCTTTTGGCCCAAGCCACTTGAGAAGCTGCCTGCCTTTCCATCAGCCCTAGATCTCACATACAACAGTCCTGTGGCATCTAGCAGAGCGCCACCTGACAGGGGCAAATAACCCCCTCGCCTGTCTCTCGAGGCTGGCCCAGGGCATCCTCGGGGCTGGGCTGCAGTCACTGTCCGTTTTATCGTATTGCCTTGGGTGAGGGATGGGGAGACCAGAGGTATGGCAGGGCCACACCGGGAAGCACCAGGGTCGGTCAGGAGGCAGAGGTAGGGGAGGCTCTGTGGGCAAGAACCTTCACCATGGTTTCTATGGGAAGGATCAGGCGAAGCAGGACAATCAGGCTTAGGATTGGCTAGCTAAGTTTGAACCCGGGTCCCCTGTGAAATTCATGTTCACTGGGACTGTTAAGAGTCTATAGTAGAAAGCTATCTGAGGACTCCGGATGTCTATGGGCATATTAGTCAGGGTTCTCCAAAGAAACAGAACCAATAGAATGTGTGTGTATGTGTGTGTGTGTGTGTGTGTGAGAGAGAGAGAGAGAGAGAGAGAGAGAGAGAGAGAGAAGGAGAGAGATTTATTTTAAAGAATTAGCTCATGTCTTTATGGTGACTATGGAGGCTGTCAGGTCCAAAATCTGCCAAGTAGGCCAGGAAGCTGGAGACCGGGAAGAGCCAGCACTGCAGTTCAAGTCCAGAGACAGTCTTCTGGCAGAATGTCCTCTTGCTCAGGGGAGGTCAATCTTTTGTTCAATCCTGGCCTTCAACTGATTAGATAAGGCCCACCCACATTCTGGAAGACAATGTGCTTTACGGAAAGTCCAATGACTTAAATGTTCCTTTCATCCTGCTACACCCTCATAGAAACATCCAGAATAATGTTTGACCATATATCTGGGCACCGTGGCTCAGCGAAGTTGACACACAGGCTTGACCTTCACGTTGGGAGAGTCATAATTTGCTTAGGGGTTGCTAATAGCCCCCTTCGTGGCTGTTAAAGCATGTACTTCACAGAAATTATGAGTTTGGTTAATACGCAGTCATTGTCCCCATTAAGGGGTAGCTCTCACTTGGCAGGATCTCCACGGCTCCTCACCTCTCAATGCCTTCGCTCAGGTAACTTCACAACTACCTCAGGAAAACACCTCCTGGCTTACAGAGCACAGTTGCTCCCTTTTTCTCCTTGCTTTTCACAACACCAACGAGGAGAGCATCTCAGAAACCAGAGACTGTGGCAGGGAGGCGCCTTGACCCACTCAGGTCAGACAGCCTGCAAGGGGAGAAAGTCAGACTCAATTTCATCTTCTGGTTTCAAATGGCAGGAGCTGGCATTTATTTATTTATTTATTTATTTATTTATTTATTTATTTATTTATTTATTTATTTTAATGTATTTATTTGACAGAAAGAGAGAGAGAACAAGCAGGGGGAGCAGCAGAGGGAGAGGGAGAAGCAGACTCCCCGCGGAGCAGGGAGCCCGACGTGGGGCTGGATCCCAGGACCCTGGGATCATGTCCTGAGCCGAAGGCAGACGCTTAATGACTGAGCCACCCACGCGTCCATAGGAGCTGGCTTTTAATGAGCAATTACCATGTGCAGGGCATCTCCTGCAACGCTTGCCCGCATTAGTTTGCCTAACTTCCTGAATGACTCCATGGGGAGGCGCTCCGCCCCTTCTAAGTTCCACCTGTCTATGGGAAGGGAAACTGAGGCCCTCCTGCCACCTCACACGGCGGGGTGAGCGTGGGGGGCTGCGTCTCGGCCAGGCTGGAGTCCATGATCCTCAGCACCCTCTCCGCCCGGTTCCCCACCCGACACCCTGCTGCTGCACATCCACACCTGACAGTTCCTCTCTGGAGACCAGGAAGAATTGCCTTGTCCTGCAGTGTTACTGGAGGCCGTAAGAAAAATGTGACAGAAAATTTTGGAAAAACCCCGCAAAGTGGAACAAGGTCTCAAGGTGAGGCTGGGGCTCCAGAAAGCAAGCATCACTTCCCAAAACATCTTATCTAGGGTTCGCCCCAGGTGGCCCAGCTTATCAGGAGCGGCCCCAGGGCCTTGGTTTCCTCCGAAGCATTCATCTTGTCTCCCCACATAACATACTGGGCCCTGATAGTGCCGTCCCCCATGATGTGCCCAATGTGGGAAACACACTCATTCAATAACCCTTTACTGAGTGCCAGGCACTGTGCTGAGAGCCAAGAGCTGGGAGACAAAGAAGGTGGATCCTGCCCCCAGGGCACAGCCTGCCAGAAGAGACAGACCTATCAACCAGACAGCACCAGCCCACCGGCAATGCGGCCAGTCTGGCTTCCAGAAAGCACACTGGATCCACAGAGCGAGGCATCATCAGCTCTTCCCAAGGGCTGCAGGGGAGGGTCGCCTGGAGCGGACAGAGAGGGCTAGGTACTGGTTCCCGACCTCAAAGAATTTATAACCCAGGTGAGGAGCACAATCAAGGACTGGAAACATTAGAAGCCATCCCAGAAAAGAGAATGACACGTCAGGCAGTGTGGCCTCTACGTAAGGGTGGGGAGAGGCGGTGAAGGATGGGATGATTTATAAGCCAGCAGAAATCGTTGCTTCCTGCTGCTGACATGCATACAACCATGTCCCCTGACCTTTCCACGAGCCTCCGTCCTTGTTCTTAAACGATGCTCCGCTCACAAGCTCACCAGCTCTCATGAGCCTGGAGGCCGCTTTCCCCTTCCCTCCTGGACCTCTCAGCTCCCGCTTGTCCAAGCTGAATTTCTCAGCCTCCTCTGGATCTCACCTCATCCTCGGTGCATTCAGGTCCCCCCTCCCCAGGATTTCAGACCCTTCTACTTCTGAGGTTTGCCTAAAGCCCCCCATCTCCTCTACTTCCTGCAGCCGGGGGGGGGAGAAAGATACTCTAATCCATGCTTGGTGATGGGGACGGCCAATAGTAGGCTTCGTGTCATCCGCAGCTCGCTCTCTCCGTCTGCTAGAACTGGTCATTGATTACGGCTTCCTTTGAATGCACTTGTTTGTACCTGGTGGAGAGTTCCTTGGTGTGCTCGCCAGCGTGTCTTAGCACTGTTGTTTCAGAGAAAGCAGTCGCCTTTGTGTGTGTCTCTTACAAATACATGAGCCGCACGCGCGGTCCATCTCCTCCCCTCCAGCACGGAGCTAGGATGATTGAAACGCGACATTTTAAACCCAAAAGCAAATTACAGCCAGGAATCAGTGTGAAATTACTCTCCTCGGCTCAGAGTGCCTTTTTAAAAGTCAGGCAGCAGTGGCCAGGATGAAAGTTGGCCTGTCAGACAAGCCCATTCAAGCTTGCAATTCCTCTGTCATTTGCCCGACAGGCTTGTGATAAAGAGCAAGGATAAAAAAAAAAAAATCGGCCAAAAATAGTGCCACTGAGAACCCTACACTGGGGCAGACCCGGGAGCCAAGGCCGTCGCGGCCCTGCCCTCTCCGATAGGCCGGCCACGGCATGGACTTGTTCTGACAGAGATGACTCATGACCTCAGATTTCAGCCCCAGAGATGCTGGAGAGGAAGCGCTGCGAGACCCTGCATTTGTGAAACCCTGAAGAAAAGGAAGGGAGAACAAAGTTTACATTGAAAACCTTGACTTTCCAAACAGCATGTTGAGACAGCCCCACAGCAGACAGGTTTACTGCAGGCCTGGAACTCGCCCTGGGCTGCTGCAGGCCGGGAGATTCATCTAGAAAGAATATAACGAGCCTCCTTCTCCCTGGTGCCCTGGTTACTCCCCTTTGTACCCTTTCTGGGCCTTTAGTTCCCCCAGGGTGGTGCCCTAGGGGCCCAGACGAGGGAGGGCCCCCTCGGCAGCCCAGAGCGAGAGGGGCCCAGGAGAAAATGAAGGCAACTCTGTCATCTGGTAAGCTATGGGAGAGGCCACCACAGCCTGGTAGCAAGCGCTCTGGATGACAGGAGACAGGCAGATCCTCCCTGCTCTGTTGCCAGTTCTCGGGGGGAGGTGAGCAGCTGACTGCCAGGGCTTCAGGCCTGCTCCCCAGGCTGAGGCGGAGGCCTCCAGACACCCCACCTGCCAGGTGACATGTGGGGGTTGTCGCCCTCGAAGGTAAGATGTCATGCCTGTCTTCATTCCTTTGATCTCCCCTAACCTCCCTGGGGTAGGCATCATTCGCTCCAGTGTATAGAGGAGACCACAGAGTCTCAGAAAGGTAAGCTAATGCACCACAGTTCCCATGGCTAGGAAGTGGTAGATCCAGGAGTCAGATCCAAGGGTTTGGGATCTAAGTCCAGCGGCTTCCATCGAAGGAATTCTCCCAGCCTGCTTCAGAGGTGGTGGCACCCGGGCACATGGGGAATGTCGTGAGGTCCCTTACCTTTGGTGCGGAGCTTCTCCAGGTGGAGATTTCTGTCCCCATCCTTCTCATCTTTCTGTCCCACCACCCATTTGTCATGAGAAACAATCGCATCATGAACCAGATGTTAAAGGAGCCGCAGATTATCTGACAACCGTAAAGCCCGACATGGGTTTTGTTTATCAAGGCCCCAAACAAAGCCGCTGGAAGGGCTGCAAGGACCCCAACGTGGTGACCATCTCACGGTCAAGTCCTTCAGAGCCATCTACTGCTCCGTAGGCCCCACCCCCAGTACTAATCGGTGGTACTGCTGCCGTGGTCATTGCGACCCCCAGCCCTGACAAGTGTTCGGTGCTTCCGGTCACTGGCAAATCAGACAGTTCACCCGGGCCAGCTGTCCCTGCTCCTGCCGGCTGTCACTCACAGCCTCCTGCAGGCAGAGCCTTCCCTGGGGACATTTCCCCGGGGACCCTCTTCTTTGGCATCCTTAAAAGCTGTCACACTGTCCCAGTTGTTTTTCAAGGAGGAGGTCCCCGGGGTTTCATTGAGGCAGACTTGAACCTGACCCCACCACGTTGATGTATTCATGTCTACCTCCCCTTGGGAAAGGGGTGCCAAGCCCCGGGTGCCCGTGGCTGGATGCTGGCAGCCTCCCAGCCTTGGCAGCTCATCCATCACCTGTTGTCTCCTACCCGGAACATGAGTTTGGACACGCAGGGATTGCAGTGGTTCCTGCAAAGGCAACCTCCTCTAGCGGAACCTGGGACTTCTGGGCAGACCGGCTTCACGCCCCACAGGGCAGTCTGTCAGCGGAGCCGTTAGGGCCGGGCACATAGGTAATGCGGTACGTAGGGTCGCTGAGGGAGGCCATCACTCAGCACGTGATTCTGAACTTGGCATCTGCCAAGAGCTTTTCAGCCATTTCTGCTAGCTATTACTCCTAAGCATCCTCAGGAGGTGGGCGGGAGCTGTTGTCCTCTTTTTGAGAATAAGGAAATGGGGAGAGAAATATCTCCAGGGACACATCCACAGAGTGAGAAGGGGTCAGAGCCCTTGGTAGTGAAGCGTGACCTTAGTCACCATCCTCTTTCAGCCCTGGTCCCGCATGCATCCAGCAAGCTCACTGGGGAGGGCGATTCTGGAGCATGGCTTTCATCCAGGAATCGTCTAAAACATTAACTTGCTAGGGGCCGAGTCGAGGTCTGGGTCGCTGTCACGTGGCTCGGAAGGGGCAGGCTCAGAGGGGTAAGTGATCTGCAGTAAATCACAGAGTGACAAGCACCTGCTCAGTGCAGAAAAGAAGGCTTACTCCCCAGCCACGCCCCAGGCCAGCTCTGAAGCAAGATATATTTTTAAACACAAGCCTCGTAGAGAAAATGTTCCCTAGCTTGTCCCCATAGCCTACTAATGGGGCAGCTGTTGGCAACCAGTACCATCAGCCCGTGCTAAGGGCTGTGCTCTCAATTTTTAGTTCTATTCTTGTCCCCTGGCATACGATAGGGGTTGCTGTCCCAGGAGACTGCAGGCTACTGATGAAAAAGAAGGTTTCAGTAGGTTCTCGCCTGCTCTCAATTTCAAGACTCTCTGATTTCGTTCAGACGTGGGGCCTGTGGGCCTGTGCTCATTTACTGAGCTGGAAACTTTTATTTTTTTTTCTTCTTCACACTGACGCCATGGAAACTGCCCGATGCTTCCCAGAAGGCTGGGGTCCCCCTGCTTCGCCCCGGGCTGAGAAGGGCTGAAGTCTGAGAAGGTCAGCTGCCTCTCCGATGTCTGGGAATCTGGTTTCCCAGCGGCTTGGCTAGCAGGTGCCTCACACCCACCCCTCCTTCGCAAGTGAAAAGAACCACTCGGGGTCAGTTTTGCTGCTTCTTCTTGCTCTGATCAGGGTCCGTTTCTCAGCTAGAGCAAAGAAAGACACCTTACAAGTCCTAATTAGAATGAGTCTTGTTCTAATTTATTCAGGGTATCCTCCTACATCGTGCTGCTGGTGCATCCCTGTGTGTTAGTGGTGTTGCTGTGGTCCGTGTCATTGTTTTAAAGAAGCTTCTGACCAGGGCTGGAGGAGACGCTCTTTGTCTGCTTCTGGGCCCTGTGGTCCTGGCCCTCGCCAAGGGAACCGTTCTCGCACTGCTGTGTTTGAGTTATGTAATATAAACAGCTCCAAGGAGATGGGCTCCTCCACTTTTGTGTTTAGACTCAGCCTTCACTTGCCCTCTGCAGAGCTCGTCACTTGGGTGGTTTCCTCTCGCCTGCTGCTGGGGAACAAAACAGCCTGCCCTTGACCCTTCTCCAAGACCAGCCCTTTCCTCCCATGACCCAGCAAGGAGAACGAGACGCTGCTCGTGCATGTCCTCAAAGGCTCGGCATGGGCCAAGGGCACAGGGGGGCGTCCAAGCCCAGCAGAGACGAATCAGACTTTCTCTGTGGCTTCTTCTCTGATAAGGGGTTTCTCCACGCCAGGAGTACACCTAGAACATTTCAAACATAATTCCACTTCGCCCATAGGCTAATCCATAGATTCATACCCGACTTTTCAGGAACACGACTGATGTATAAAAACACATGTGTGTACAGCTAAGAAGGAAAGTCAAAAGGTATGATAGAAGTCAGCTCCATGTTACTTCACCAGTCACATCGGCTGAAATCAAATATTTTCAAAGCGTTCCATTGCTAATTAGACCAAGTTCATGGTTTATCCCCCTGATGTGCCACACAACAGGAAAACGCCGTGCATCTTCTCCCTGAGTTTGGCTTAGCATGAGGGTGTTCAAGGCACAGTTGGATTAGAATGCATTTTTAGTAACAGGTTCTTGAAACAACTCTCCAAGGGTTGAGTCACTTATTTCTTTATTTATACAGTTGTCTTAATGCAGATCACAAATATTTTCGGAAAAGTTATTGACTCTCAAATTTCTTATGGCAAGATTCCATCTCTCTCTCTAATCACCCCTGACACTCATTGCTTGCCACCTACTGGGGTCACCAATCTCGAGGTGAGAAGGATGTTTGTTCTTGTCATCTCTTCAGTCCTGTGGGCTTGGGAAGGCAGGACCAGAAAAACGGAAGGCCCAGAGGTTTGGAGAATCAAGTCCCTAGGGTATCAGGGTCTGGAGGAGGGAGATAGCGGGTGTGACCTTGAATATAGCAAGAAGGGACTGTGCCAGCCACACTTCTCTTCCCACTGGATTCCCAGAAAACTAGGAGAGAAAGGAAGAGAGGGAGGAAAGAAGGAAGGAAGAAGGGGGAAAGAAGGAAGGGTAGGAGGGAGGGAGGGAGAAAGAAAAGGAATTTATAGCAATGAGAGGGAGCAAAAATGCAATTGGAGCTTTTGGTGTTAAGAAATATTTTAAGGTCTACCAGCTGAAGCCCAGCCGGCGTCTCTGACAAAGCCATACAGCATTCCCGCGTGCCTTCAAGGCTTCCAGAATCTCCCTGCATTTGTCCAGCAGCAGCAGCTTCTAGCCCTTGTATCCCCTCTAATTTGCGAAGCCCCAGCCCTTACCCTCCCATCTCCCTCTACGTTTCTCTCCTTCAAGGTCAAATCCCAGCGCACCTCAACATTTCAGTGCTTTCCAGGGTGGTGAGAGCCCCAGCTTGCGGAGCCCTCCCCGGGGGGCGATGGGGAGGGGGTTGTGAGCGGCGGAGGGGCTGGAGGAAATCTGCTGGGGCCTTGACTTTCTCACACATGTTTCAGATGTGCGGGGTGTGATTGTAAACAGCGTCTTCATCACTGCCAGGCTGGCCTCCCCGCCCGAGTCCTGTTCCCAACACCCTAGGGGTTCCAGTAATAGGGCGTAAAGCAAACAAAGAAAAACAGTAATCTGGTGTTCCAATTGCATTTTTTGTTTTTAGAAAATGTTAATGATAGGTTATTTGATTACCCTAGGTTTGGCTCTGCTTGCTCTTTATTAAGCACATCTGGTATTTAGTGACAATATAAGTAGCAGGAGTTTTTCTGGCGCTTGAGAATAAGCTCATCCAATGTTGCCATGCAGTTTGGAAACTCGTCAGAGAGGCCAGCCAAACTTGTGGAGATACAAGACTTTTTCTGTAGGCTGGGCAGGTGGCCAGGACAGCTAAAAAATGTGAATTGGCTAAGAATTGCTGCCACGCAAACACTTCTGGAAATTTCTGTGCTTGGGCCTGCCAAATCCATTATGCACAACATGAATTACAAGAGTTTCTATCTCTCCCAGCAGTTGCGTTTTGAGTGAAATTCTCCTGCGCGCTTTATGAAACATACACACACACAACCAAAATGAGAAAAACACCACAAAAATCCACTACTGTGTTTTTTTCTTTTCTTTTTTTTTTTTTTTTTTGTCTCTTTCCATTTGGGTTGCCAAGTGCACTTTTCCTGAATTAGGAGAAATAGCCTCAAACTTTGGTTTCAATTACATTCAATTCTAACACGTGGGAGGGAACTGTGCTTCCTGGAAATTCTAGAAAGGAAGGATGTCTCACATCATGGAGACAGCCTAATATCTAAGTAGGAAAAACAATAAAGTGCAACAAAAGAACTTGGAAAAGGAGAAAAACATATACACCCTCCACACCGCATGGCTAGGCATTGGGGTTAGTCAGAATGGGATGCCGACCTGTGGACAGAAGTTGCTTCTCCTGCGCCCAAGACTGCACCCCGCACGAAGGTCCGTCCTACAGACCTGACAAGCACACAAACAATTTTTGAAGTAGAGGATGGGCCTGGGAGGGCACCCCACAGCCAGTCAAGGGGAAAGCAAGCAGAAGAGAAGCAGGATCTTCTAGGCAGATCCTGGTTCTGCCCAGGCTTCCCTCCCTTTCCAGGGCTTAGAAATGTTTGCATCATTTTCTGATTCCAAATTGAGACTTGCCTCTTTCTTGTGATTCAGATGTGCTAGATTACTCAGACTCTGCCCAGCATCCCAAGAGGGCCTGGAGCTCTACTTCTATTCTGGAATGACATTCTTCGTAGGACACATATAATGGCTCATGTGAGATAATCACACCAGCACGTTGTGAGACAACGTCATACAGCTAAATCCTTCCAGTTCCTACCAGGGGTGATGCTTTTTGATACACAGCCTTTCTCATGAGAACTTAGATAATCATGTCAATACTGGTGAGTCGACGCTCTAAGGTCTTCTAAGAGCCAATGGTCCCAGCTCTGTCATTAGTCAAGCTGCTATGCTGGTCTGTGCCTCAGTTTCCCTCTCTGTGTTTGCTTGTCACCATTCTTCCAGGATATGGGAAAGGTCATGAGATGAGCATTAGGTTCTGGCAGGGACACTAGTAACTCTGTGACCTCTTTCTGGGGGCACATGTCAGCATAGTGTCCTCACTTGTGAAACAGGGACAGTGACATCTTCCTTATAGCACGGTTGTGAAGAACCAAATGTACTAATAACTATGCAACTGCTTTGCAAACCATAAAGCTGGATACAGTTGTGGGTTGTTATCAGTACCTTTCAAGTCCTAATTATAGAACTTTGCTCACTTAAATTCCTGTGAATGGGACGTAGAGAGTGTGAGTCAAAGCGGTCCATGCACATGCATAATGTAATCTGGGAATTTATTGGGACTGGTAATGAAAAGAGACCGTTGCTTTCTGCAGCTGATAAAGGATGACCTCTTTCAGTATAACTCTTAATTAAAGTATGTCACCTGTTTCCCCTCTCCCTCTCTCCTCCTCCCCCCTCCCTTCCCCTTTCTTTTCCTTCTTTCACAGATCTATTGGCAGCAATCACTGTGAATGTGCCATTTGACTATGTCGACCTAAGATTGGAGGGGAGGTTGCCGGAGCTAATTAAATTTCCTTTCCCATAGTGACTGTATCCCAGAACTATAGTTCACACTAAGCAGTTAAACAGGTTTGGGCATTTGGAAAAAAAAAATGCTGGGGCCCCAAG